AAAGGGATAGATTGTGTGGAGCTAGACCTTATAGCTATAGGGTGTAAAAGACTATATCCACCATGCATGGAGATATAAGAGAAGTGGGAGATAAAAAAAGAGTACGTGTATATATATATATATATATATATATATGATCAAAATTTTGTAAGACTTATTTCTTAATATGTATAAAACAGTGAACATTTGCATATTGAATTTGCATATAATTGTTAGATGTTTATTGTTACATTTTTTAATAATCTTGAACATCTATTTGTTTGGTTGTTAAACTTAATTTGCATTTAATAGTTTTTGGAAGTGAGTCGTAAGATTCGCGGAGGTAAAATGATTATTTAACATCCTGACATTGTACTAATATCCAGCATATACTGAGATAATAGAGAAGAGTGGGTGGTGGAGACATATTGATTTTTTCATGGAAAATCTTAGAAAGGAGAAAAAACCCAGTTGAAATAATTCAATATATGATTGTGAGTATATGGGTTCACTCTTCTTCATAATTAGGGAAGATAGAGCTGCAAAGATAATATATAATGATAGTTCATCGACAGAGGTTGTTGGCCATTGACCGGTGGTGGCCTGCAACTATAGAGGCCTGACCCTAAACCCTAAACCCTAAACGCAAGGTTGGTCGTCGGCTATGAAGGCGGGAAGTTATCGTCAGACCCAACACTAGAATTTAACTTCTTCTCCTCTCAATTGATGAGATGGGATTTATTTATAAGCTCTAGGGGAGTGGCATTTTGATCTTTTCGTGATTAATTCTCGTAACCACCTGATCAAACGGTCTACATCGATTCCTTTTGATTCTATGAGAGTTTTTTTTTATGACTTGAGAGCTTTAATGACCTCAAAATCGATTGATCTTGTGTTTGTTGAACTCCTCTCGTCAAGACGCTCAATCTTATTATAGACATGTTAAGTTTGATGTTCATTTTACCTTTCAATTAACTACTCAAAGCGCTAAATGCGGTTCAATGGCTTGATCCAAACCTGATTGGACTCAAATTATAGGTATCATTAGGTTCCTCTTGTCAATACGATCAGTTTGACTATTAGAACGCCTCAATCGAAGATATGAATAAGTGCTAATTTAAATAGAAACATTTCTTATTAAAAAAAAAATACATCAATGTCCTTGCTAAATGACATTCTTGACGACGTATCAGAACTATTTTCTCCAATTTGAACTATGGAATGCTACAGCCATAAGAAAATTGACACCTGGCTTTATCTAGATGAAAAGGAAATATTATATCTACATCAACTATTTAATTTTTCTCTTATGATGACTTCACATTCAACATTGCAGAAAATTGTAATCATCACAAATAAGTACTGTAACATTATATAATTTATGGTACGTGTTCAAATTGTTTATTGAGCTTCTCTAATTTCATGCTAGCAACGTGCCAAAACTTTGGTTCAATGAGGAATATACACATACATCATCACTTAATTCCTATGTATTTACAAATTTCATACCTAAACTTTATTTTTTACATAATAAGCCGTCTTACACGAGCATAAAAATATTTATTTTACTTTTTAAAAGTTAAAATAGTACCATTTTTGATGCAATATGAAAGATTTGAATGATATGAATATGAAAATAAATTTTATGTTACATGTATATATATGCAAATACTTAGGAACTCGGTGATATGTATGTAAATGCCCAGATAATTTATTTCATAAAAGGTTTCATGAAAAGTCTATTCTAACCGAACCTAATTTTTCTTACTTGATTTTTTTTTTGTTATTTTGAAGGAGATGAAGACTAAAGTGGTCATGTTCAAACAACACTAGTTCGTTTTGGAAAAGAGGGTTAAAGAGTAGGTGTAGACCAGCGTACCAAGAGTGGATGTGTCATGAAGGTGAGACCATATGGTTAATGTTGATGGCAAATGAGATGAAGAATATGATGAGAGCGTCGAGTTCTAGTTGAGGGAGAGATGAACTAACTTGTGATGATGAAGAAATATGATCCTTGTGATTATCTTTCATATTGAATAAGATATGTGTTTGTTGGATGTGTTTAGGTATGTCATATATTTGTTGTAAGGACTTTTGATATATTTTAATATTACTTAATTTGTTCTAGAAGTCTTATGACCTTATATTTTAAGGAGTAAGTTTGCCATTGTTAATTTGAAATTATGAATATGAATCTGATTCATTAGTCATTTCTAAAATATTGTGCTTATAGGATTCATTGTTATTCTTCAAAAAATCAATCAATTTATTTTTGCTAATTTTTTTCTTTATTAATATGATGTTTCTTTTTTTTCTCTGTGAGAACACTTAATGAGACTTATAATCATATCATATCGCTCATTGTAAGTTAATTCATTTATGTTAACATAGCTGATGTCAAAAGGGTGGGATTTATCGTCCTATAAAATGAGTATTTTGACTCTGTTAGAAATTATGAGACAATAAAGATTGAATGACATATATATATTTGTGTTCTATTAAGGATTATTGAATGACCAGAAATAAATCCAATGTCGAATTGTGATTTCTATGTTATTGGACTTTTGCAATTTCATCTCTTTATAGAGCAATATTACATTAACCTTTTTAAGATTTAATTTTATTATGGGGTATGGAGAGATTGGATTCAAACTCTGTAAGCTCAATGACACTAGTAATTTCATCAGGGAGGTTATTGTCGATTATCTTATATTCATTACTTCCTAAAAGTTTATTTCATTAATGAATTTAAATGGCTAAAGTTTCATTGTTCAAGATGCCTACTACAAATTTTGATTTTATAGAGGATGTAGGTTAATAAAGCCAAATTTATACATATGGGTTAGGTTATATTGGTTCTCCTTTTATTTTTGTGGAATATAAAGATATTAGTTCATCACACATGTGATTTGGACAATGTTAATGAGAATCTTAAAAGAATATGAGTGTGATCATGTGATATTCTTTTACAGAAAATTTATTAATCTTATGAGTGACTTGGTTATAGTCATTAGTTACATATGAATCAACAACATTCATGCATAACACTAGCACGGGACTTCAACATTCATGCATAACACTTATAAATTTTGGTGGGCATAGATACAAACTTTAATGAGTGCAACAATTTAAATATTCATATGAATTTCATTTTCTTATATTAATCCTAGTTGACTGGCTATTCAAATAGGTCCATTGAGCTTCTAAGAGGATAGGGTACTTCAGCTTCAAACACAAGGATTTATACGATTACTTAGATACGAACTTTAAGCTTTAGAGTGCTTTAGCTTCTTTGAGAACAATAATGTTAGATACTTAGAGTCACTATAGAATAATACTAGTATGAAGTGAATGACTTCAAAACAATAGTGAATCAATAAGCTTAATTATATCTGCGCACCAACTATTGAATGCTCAATACGTCACAGTCAATTGGAAAAAAAATTGAAGGTCAATGAATTGTATCACTCATGACAGCATTTATAATCCCTTATCATCATGGTTGATGAATGCCTTTATCATTGCTATATATATTGAATCAAACTCATGAGCTCTACGAAATCGTTCACGAACTTTACACGAGGATCTAATTTCATCCATTTTCATAATTACGTAATTAATCAAGCATACAAAAGGGTAGATAAGTGAATGTTGTATGAAAAAACTTCAAAATCTAAGCTTTGCTTTTTCTTATTGATCTGCCAATCGAAACTTCCAATTGATGCAATCATATTATGCAGTTAATTTTGATAATCTTCTCCTATGATTAGAAATGGACTTTGGGTCAATCAATAGGAACAGAGCATTTTTTTTTTCTGCTTTACTTTTTCCCTACTCATGGGATGCCAAAAATAGAAGACAAAGCCCAACTGTTCACATTGTCGGGAGCTTTGAATCCCACCGTAGAGAAATCACTTGTCATTAATGTCAAGCATCGAATTCTATTTTCTTATTGTTTACTGCTATTAATTATTACTTCTACAAATGGCTTTTTATACTTTCTTCAAATGCTTTCTTTCTTTGATCAACTTTTGTTATATTTTTTGGCTTAATTCACATCTTTTAGAAGTTTGGAGCATGGATCAAATCAATACATTTTTGTTTCATTGGAACGTTGGTTGATGAAATAATGATTAGGGCTGTCAAAATGACTCGTTGTTCACGAACATCTCGTGTTCGACTCGTTAAGAAGCTCTTGTTCGGCTCGTTAATTTCGTTCGATAAGTTAACGAGCCGAACACGAACT